CGGGCATGTGCGGCCCGGCGCACTGGGGCTACGCTCGTCGTGGCTGCGGCCCGGACGAGTACGAGCGGCGCTACAGCAGCGCCTTCCCGCCGCAGCTGCGTGCCCAGATGCGCGACCTGGCACGGGGCATGTTCGTCTTCGGCTACGACAACTACATGGCGCACGCCTTTCCGCAGGACGAGCTCAACCCCATCTACTGCCGCGGCCGGGGGCCGGACCGCGGGGACCCGTGAGTAGCCTGCCGGATGCCCCGCGCGCCGCCTTCCGCCCCTCCGGGTCCCCGAAGGGATACCAGGGTCTTTAAGGTCCGCCGAAGTCCGAGGTTCCCTCTGTCGAGGTGGACTGCCATCCTCTTGATTCTCCTGGACCCTCCAAACTTCGGGACAGCTGTCCCTGTCATTCTCTGTTGCAGATGGGGAAACTGAGGGCTAGAGACCAGAAGGAACAGTCACAGTGGCAAGGCATGCTGCTGCTCCAGATGGACATACTATCTAAGTGCCAGCTATAGGCTTCCTTTGGAAAACGCAGCTTCAGAACGAACCTTCCCCACTCCCGATCAGAACGCCACACCCAAGGCTTTTAATATAAAGATTAAGGCACGGGTTCCGAGAAAGGGGCCGTCCTGTGAATTGGACACAGGGGATGGGGTGGGGGAGTTAGTGTTTCTCCTTCCCAGGGGCCGCTGCCTAGGCTAGGAGAGGTAGCTAATTGAGAGGGATGGGTATTGCCTGGCCCAGATTTGCGATCTGTATCCCCTAAGGATGGTTCCTTAGGCGCCGAATTGACTGACACTGTCATTGCTTGGTACCATCGTAAACACTAGTCGGGTGATGGTGCTGTCAAAAGGTCAGGCAGTCCTCCCAGCCTCCGAGTCATGGGAAGGTGAAGTTCCAGGGTTACTCTGGGTGGACTTCAAAGTCCAAGAGAACGGAGCACCCAGCCAAGATCCTCCTCGCTAAAGGGTGTGCACTGCCACGGACCCAGTCAGGCCGGTTGGTGACTGTGGCGCTTCCCTCCCCTTAGATGGAAATGGATTTGGGTTGTTCGTTGTCTTGGCACTACACATGGGCATCCTTGAACACCTGGCATGTGTATTTTCCTTCTGGTGGGAAGCAGTGGTGGATTCTTAGGTTCTAAAAGAAAAGCTAAGGGCTGATGAGATGGCTCAGCCAGTAAGGACGCTTGGCACTACTTGAGTTTGACCCACTTGGAGGGAAGTGAAAGAGAACTCAGGAGACTCCCTGAGTTGCCCTCTGACCTCTACATGCCTCTGTGACGCACATCACACCTGTCCCCAAAACGTTAAAAAAAAAAAGTTTTTTAAAGGAAAGCTAACTCTAAAATGGCATAGAAAGGGCTATGCAAGTGGGCTGGTGAGGTGCCAATTTGTGTCTTCATTTGCAGCCTAATAGCTGATAGATGGGTACTAGCAAGGGAGCATCCCACACAGAGGCAATGGGCCTTGCACAGTTCTGTTGGATTGATGAACTATTTGCCTTTCTTAGCCGGATCAGTTTTTGTCATATGACCCCATCCCTCTCTTTTTTGCTTTTCTTTGGGAGTCCAGGGAATTGAACCCATGGCTCCTTGCAGCTCCTTCCCACTGAGCTACATAGCAGCTCCTTCTTTCTTTTGCAGAAATGTATTTTTTCTCCGTTTCTTTGGGGGGAAAACTATACATTTTTTTGAAGTAACACTACTCCTTTTTAGGTTATAGGGAGTGGGTGAGTCGTGCGACGCAGGGGAGACTTCCTGTCTGTGGTTAGGTTGGCTTCAATTCCAGCTTTGCACCACTCCTCTCTTCCCCTTCAGCCCCCTTCCCCCTCTCCTCCCTTCCCTGCCTCTCTCCTTTATCTTGTAAGAAAAAAAAATTCTTTACATCCAGGAGGGGGAAACTGAAAAATCCCTCTAGTTATTTTCAATAGCTCGTTTCTGCCAGTTCTTGACCATATGATGACACATTTTTATTTATTTATTTATTTATTTATTTTTACATAGTTCCAGCTTAAGTATGTGCATATTTTAGATTTTTAAAAAAATTTTTTTACAAAGACTGTTTTTATTTGTGTTCCAATAAGGTTGACAATAGGCATCTTGACACAAGAACCAGTTTGAAAAGCTATAGATGACTCCTGTTGGGTTCAGTCTCCCTAGAACATTTTGCAGAGCATTCCTGATACACTTTCAACAGAATCTTCAGCATGTCGTGTGTCCAGGTGGCAGAACTATGCTCCCCTTCCGTTAGGCCTCATTGTCTCACTGTCTTTCTCTGTCTTCTCTTTTTGGACTAGGAACTACTGTACTGATGACGTGGCGCTTCCTCCGAAAGTGGCTCTTCCTTAGCGCTTCTTTTTAACCTTCTTTTGTTCCTCTTTTTCTCCTCTGTCTGTTGATCTGTCAGTCTGTCTTTCATGCTGAGGCTGGTTCCCAGCACAACTAGAACGTTACAATAAAATGCTCTGGCTCCAGCTGTCTTAATGGGCGAGGCTTGGTCACTCATCCCCAAGGTGCCAATTAAAGAGACAATTACTGCCACAGAGCAGAGAAAAGAGAGTTAACATCCTGGGAAGTGAAACAAATAAAGGGGTCCAGCTGTCCCTGAGTTGAACTTCTGGATTCTGCCAGGAGGTTTAAGTCAAGTAGAGGGAAGGTTGGGGCAGAGGGTGTGAGATATCTAAGTAGTGCAGTCAAGCTGTGGTTTTGGCCTTTACAGATGAGCTCAGGTTCTTGTAAGGTGACCCGCTTAGAGTCCAGCCTCCCCATTATGGATAATTGTTCTCATCGTGTGAAATCTACGGCTACTACAGGTTTAAGACAGTGCCTTCAGTCTTAGAGGAATGAGAGAGGGTGTGAATCACTGTTTTTACACAGGCGCTCCTGGAATGATTAACGTGCCCGTGTGTAGAGAAATGCAGGATGAGCCAAAGGAAAGGAGACATATGCAAAAGGAAGATGGGAATGGCAGGCTTTCGCCCTCTTTTTAGTCACTCTGTGGGCTCAAGTGAGAAGTCGGAGCTTCTGAGCAGACGTAGTTTCTGAACGCCTGTTGTACTAGGACCTTGTGCATGCTAGGCAAGTCGTCTTCATTGAGCTCCACGCCCAGCTCCTTTTTCACTTTCTATTTTGGGACAGCCTTTTTGAGTTGAACAGGCTGGCTTTCAGCTTGTCCCGCAGCTGAGGCAGGCCTTGAATTTGTGATCTTGGTTCAGACTCCTGAGTAGCTGGAGTTACAGGCCCTCCTGCCTTACCAGGTCCACCTTTAATGGTTTTACTTTATTGTTTTGTAATGAGCTGTAGGCGCTTTCTGGAGCATTTTGGAGTGGGGGTGAGAGCTCTTCAGCAAAGTGGGGTGACAGTGGTTGGTTGAAATTGTGGGTCCCAGTGGCATCTTGGGGTGCATAGGCCTTTTTAGAAGTCTATGGTAAGTGTGGTTTGCTTTGGTTCTGCAGTGGCAGCTCATGTAAATTGAAGTCAAGTCTCTGGGATGATGGCCTTAGTAATTAACATTGGGGAAAGCTGTCTTCCGACTTAATGGTTGGCAGCCTTTGTGTCTCTGACGGTGGTGAAGAGTCCTGGAATTTTGTGTCCTTGAGCAGACCCCCACACTGGCCAATTCAAAGAATAGAAAGCATGGGGTTCTTTGTTTGTTCGCTTATTTGTCTGTTTTTACCAGCTCTCACCTTAGTATAGTTCCTCTCATTGTTTGATACAGGAGAGTTTCAAGCCGGTGCTTTCTCATTCTGATTCTGAACAAGTAGGAAGTGCTTACATTTTTCAAATAAACTGTAATAAAGAGGCATACATGTTTTGTTTTGTTTTTTCCTAATACTGAGAATTGAAACCAGGTCTCACATACTCCAGATAAGTGATCTGCTATGAAGCTACACTCCTGGCCCCTTTAAAAATTGGACTTTGAGGGGCTGGAGAGGTGGCTCAGTAGTGAAAAGTGTTCGCTACCCTCACAGAGGACTGAGTTTTTTCTCAACATACAAAACTACCTGTAACTCTTGGGAGTTCCAGGTGATCTGGTCTACATGTAGACACATACACACACATACAAAGTAAGATTTTATTTTGAGGTCTGGGCATATATTTCAATGATAGAGTACTTGCCTAGCATGTAGGAGGCCCTTAATTCAATATTTGTTCTGCAAAAAATAAGGTAGCAAAAAATTGCTTTGAGACAGAGTCTACCACGCTGTACTCAACCTTAGGATTCTTCTGCCCCAGCCTGGAATTACTACAAAGTGTGCCATCACCATGCCCAGAAAATATCTTTCTGATTTCAGAATTCAAGTATGTTAATTATCATTTTCTAATATTACTTTAAAAAGAATGAACTTGATATTAGAATATTACCTAAAACAGCACAAAACCAAAATGTGGGTGCTCTCACTTTCCTCCTTTCTTTTCTTTTGAAACAGAGTCACACATAGCCCAGGTTGGCCTTCAGCTAAATAGGTAGCAGAGGCTGGCACCAGTGTCTGCCTTCTGTCTCCCCGTGCTGTGATTACAGGCGCAGGCCACAGTTGCTGGCTGTGCCATTTCTCCTTAGTCACCCTCTTGACGCTTATCTCGATAGACGTGGCCCTTGTTAACATGAAGTAAACAAATCTTGAGCCCTATGAAAACAGCCGTCTCTGTCTAGCTCCTGACTGCTGTTCCGTGTAGAACCCCAATTCAAACCTTTGAGGAAATTTAGATGGTTTTCTAAGCCTGTGGATGGCAGCTATAAATTCTGGGTTTGGGCCTGTCACAGGGCTTGATTACATTCCCCTGAAACCATAAAACAAAAGGAAAATCCCAATGAACCGAGCCCATATTGATTCCTCACCTAGTTTGTTCCTAGGCCCTCTAGCTTAAGATGGCCACTTCCTGGGCTGAGGAGATGACTCAGTAGGAGTGTTTGCTGGGTAAGTATGAAGACTTGGGTTTGAATCCCTAGCAAGCATGTAAAAAGCCGGGTGTGGTCACTCCTGAGCCTGTAACCCAAACACTGGGGTGGAGACTGAGACGAGGATTTCTGGGACCTGCTGGCTGCCTGGTGAGTTCCAGGTTCTGTGAGAAACCCTGTCTAAGATGGAGAGACAGCTGGACAGGAGAAATCTTCCTCAGGCCTCTTACCATTTATGAGTGCCTGCGCCTTCACGTACATGCAGATGTGTACACACACACACATACACACACATGACCTCTTTCACAGTTCCTTTTTCAGAATTCTTCGAGTCAGGCACAAGTCTTGAGCTATGGAAGGTGATTCTTCTTGGTTTGCTCGTCTCAGGTTTGATTCCTTCCCTTTGAGCCACCATTCCCCATTTTAACTGTGTTTGAGAATTGAGTCCTGTCCCCTTTGCTTCCCTCTGGATTACTAAATCCTTGAATGCGCAGGATTGTTTGTTGCGTTATCTCTCTGCCCACACAGAAAAGATAAGATTTCCGAACAGCTGTTGCAGGTTGAGTCTATGCAGCGTGGTTTCTTGTCTGGTTTTCTAAAATGTCTTCTTGATTTTATTAGCTACATAAGCGAAGATTTTCTAGCAGAGGCTTTGATCTCCATCTTCTTCATCTCCTTCCTCCTTTGCTTTCTTTCTTTGCTTTTGTTTGTTTAGAAGTAGTAAGAGCTGCCGAGTTGCAGGGGAATGATTGCCATGAACGCTCATGCATGTGTGATGAATGAGGAGGGAGTTGTGTTGTGACTGGATCAGCTGCTTTCACGGGCCACTTGTACTCTTGATTTTTGCCTTGTTCTGAAAGATTGACTTCCTCAAGTGCTGCTAGGTCAGACAGGGCTACAATAAACATGTCCAAAGAGCAGAGCTGTGTCATTATCTGCAGGACGGGCTGACAAAAGGAAGCTGGAAAATGTCTTGCTGTAGGGCTAGGACCACTTGTTTTATGGAATCTAATTTTTCCTTTATTCTCTACCCTCCTTTCCCTACTTTGATAATTTGTATTATTAATTTTGTTGTTATTTTTTTCTAAGCCATGATCTTGCTGTGTAAGCAAGGAACTGTACTCCTGCCCCAGCCTCCTAAGTGTGGGATTATTTGGTTGAAAAGAATTCAAACTGTTCTAGTGAACATTCTAGATCTTTACATGGGTTTTCCGACTAGAGTAGAACTCTCACAGTTATCACAACTACATTAAAAGATCCAGCTCTGCTAAGAGTTACCAGTTGTCACTGCCTCTTTGGCCAGTGTTACTGAGGATTGTTTGTTTTGCGAGGGACAGTGCTGAGGTTCAAACCCAGCATCCCAACATGCAAGGCAAGCATTCTGCCGGTGGCTGTGTACCCAGCTCTTAAACAGTGGAACACTGTGTCCCTTTGATGTGTGCACTAAGAGAAAAAGCACAGTAAACACTTGGAAAGGTGCTGAAAATTACACGTGCCTTCAATGGCTTCGGGGCAGCTAGGGAGGTGGCACTTGGCATAGATTAGGATGATGTGGAGTTCTTGATCAGTTCCTTCAGTTGGGCCGCTGAATGATATGGCAGCCATTTTCTGGTGGGATGGGTGTTTGAACCTCACTCTGTTTCTGAGCAGCATAGCCCTGTAGTTAAATATTTAAACCCAGCCAAGTGTTCCTGAGGACACTCCTGAATGTGAGGATGTCTGCTTTGACCCTTCTCTAACCCTTGGCAATTCCTGTGTGCTTGGCATTGCCTTTGAGAGACCTGTTTGAATCCATATGCTTCCATCCTGAGAGCATCTTTTCCATCATGTAAGTGGGAGTCGGTGTTCTCCTTCTGCCGTGTGAGTCCTGGGGGTTGAACTTAGGTTCCGAGGGTTAGCATCAAGCACCTTTTCCTACTGACTCATCTTAGCAGCCCCCACAGGTCTTTAGAGAGACAGCAGGTCAAGCCATCCAGAGTGCTGCTCTTAAAACTTCTTTCACAGGAAGGAGGTGGCAGAGGGAGCCTTTAGGATGACGTAAGGGCAGGTGGCATGCAGAGAAGATGGAGGACGCCAGGTGTGAGTGCTCCGTGGCTGGAGATGAAAGTAGGGCTCTCTCACTCTGACTCCAGGAGATGAGATCTAGAAGCACTTGTCTCATTTCTTCTTTTACTATCGTTTTCTTTTCCTTTCCAGCCTCTGCAGTTATTTTCTGGCCCTGTGGTAATGGGACAGGGCAGTCAGTGGCGTCTGTGACTGAATTTCTTCAGTCATGCCAGGCCGTTTTCACTGTTTGTCTAGCCTTCCCGGATGTATTCGTTCTCATGTGTGTCATAGTTTGAGCAGTGAAGAAATACTAGGTCATCTGACAGGATCCCTCCTTCAGTCCCTAGTGCTTGTGAAATTAAGAGGGTTTTGAAGCTAGACAGGATTAAAGATCCTTGATGGTGATAGTGTGTCTCAGAGCACCGGCGACGGACTTGTCCATCTCCCGACTTCCCCTTGAGTTCTCTCACTACCGCCTTATACCCCTGTTCTGCTGTCTGTAGTTCCTCAACTTGTGGACACACAGACCCTGCTGCTCCTGAGACAGAAGGCTCGTTTCTCACTGCTGCCCACAGTCTGTTTCTGGCTCATGAGCATGGCCAGCAGTTTTAGTTTCTGATGGCTGTTTAGTTTTTTGCCCCTCCCCCTTCACTTTAAATGTAAAATACTTTTGTTTAATTTTAATTCTTTCTTTTCCAGTTCAAATTTGAACATCAATGATGTCCTGGGAAATTACTCCCTGACTCTTGTTGATGCCTTGGATACACTTGCAGTAAGTATTCAACTTTTTCTTAATTCAGATAATTAAGATAAAGTGTTTGGGGGTTTATTGTATTTCCTCGTTTCCCCCAGGAATGGGAATTCCAGGAAATGCTGTACTCAGAGGCTTTGATGAGTGTTAATTATTTTAATGACCTTCATGGGAAGGCAATTAGAAAACATACATACATATTCATATATGTATGTATTTATATATGTGTGTATCTATGTGTGTATGTATATATATGTGTGTGTGTGTATATATTTCTTTCTTTCTTTTTTTTTATTGATTTAGCCATCCTGTCCTACCAGAGTATGGAGACTCTTGTTACTACTTAGTCCCTGTAATCTGCTAGATTGCAAACTGTATTGGTTGCTTTTCATACTAGGGCCAAAAGCAAGTTAAGGGAAAGAGTTTATTTTGATTTAGTAGACACCCTCCAGAAGGAAGTCCAGCTGGGAAAGGCATGGCATGGCAGCAGGGTCAGGAAGCTGAAGTTCACTTTTTCTTCCACTTATAGTGAGACTCCTAAAGGTTCCATAAGGTCCCTAAAGAGCACCAACAGCTGGGCACCAAGTGTTCCAATACATGAACCTTTGGGCCAGGGGGACTTCTCATTCAAACCACTACGAGGACCTTCTAGCCTTTATGTCTTCCTCCCAGAAAGCAAGCCACACCTCTGTGCTGCTCTCTGTCTGAGGCAGAGCTAATAAAAACAGGAAACTGTGCCATGGCATCTCAGCCCCGCTCCTTTCCCTGTGCAAGATAAATTTATGGTCCTACTGAGTGCCTGCCTCTGTGTCCTTTGATACATGGAGCTGACCTAACTAAATCATGAGCTATGAAACTTGTCTATAACCTGAAACCTCTGAGTCAGAACCTCTGGTTGTTCTCTGGAACTGAGTGGACTGTGTCCCCTTTTAGGATCCCCATCCTACCACACACCAATCTCTCCTAATTGCTCTCAGACCTTAGCATCACGGCTGTGGTTGTGAGGCTCTCTTCTCCTTCTCTTCTCTTCTGAAGGCTAATTTTGTGTGAGTTTCCTATTACAAATCCACCCTTCTTCTTTTTAGCTTATAGCACAGTACTTGAGGAGTAAAAACCAGAAGACCCCAGGGTCAGAAGGTACCCCCAAATGCTTCTAGCTGCTGGCTTCCAAGGAGTGTCTGTGCCCAGTGCCTGCCTGTGCATGAGGCTCTCTCTGTGGACACCCTGTTGTTTATTGCTTCCTTGTTTTGGCTACTGTTCATTCTGTATATGTCTTGCCAACTTGCATACTGCCTTTACTCTCTCATCCCTTGGCGCCTCATTGACCGTGGGAAGCTGGAGGCCTTTCAGCATAAACACAAGAACCCTCCTGAAGGTGATAGGCCACACTGGACATGTCAGGCTATGTCTGTGTGCTTCATGGCCTAGCACCATAGAGTGTGGCTTCCAAGGGACATTTCCAGTGATTCACAATCTCCTTAGGAAAGTAATTTTTACAAACTCTTCCTCTTTTCCTTATCCAAGACAATCTTTACTATTAAAAAGCTGTTGAATCTGTCGAGTACTATATTTAATAATTTATCTGGTTCCTTTAAACATCCCTAGGAAATGTTTAAAGCTGTCAGTTAGGAGTTGGAATTGGGTAATGAAGCAAAGTTTACACCATGATTGTCTCATGGTTTGCTAGTAGTGGAAAGAGGTGGAGATAATGTTCTGTACCTTCATTGTCCAGACTGCAGAAACAGGCCTGGGCCCTGGTTCTAGCAGGGCTGCTGGGTTTCCTTCTAGGCTCTAGTTGCAGGGCACTTCCAGTCTCCCAGTATTTCCTTCTGAAGTGATGGCTGCTCCATTAAGTCATCCACCGTCACTTCTCAGAATGTGCCCAGACAAGTAAGTGCAGCGTAATTAGCGCTAACCAGTGAAGCTGCTGGACGCTGACTCAGGCTGGGGTGTGGAAGCAGGGTTAGAAGGTGCGGGTGCAGCTTGACAAGCGCACCCTCTTCGCCCTCCGGTTAGTTCCCAGGATGTCTTCGCCCCTGCTTGCTAAGTACAGAAATGCTGTCGTTATTTGCTGCACTCTCCTCCTCACCTGACAGTAAGTCCTACATAGTAGGACTCCAGGTTGTTTGTTATGTGACTGCTTACTAATCCAATTTTGTCCAACATGTATTCTAAGGGTTTGCCCCTTGGCATAGTATTGTTCTCAGACATACAGGAGAATTTCTGATTGTTGGAGATCCACATTACACAACAGCATTTTATTTAAAATTATCTAATTAAAAAGTTTTTAAAACATTTAGTGTGTGTGTGTGTGTGCGTGCGTGCACATGTCATTGCATATGGGGCATGCGGGTGGAGCAGGAGACAGTTTGGGTTCCTGGGATTGAACTCAAGTGGTCCACTTTTTAGCAAGTACTCTTATCTCCTGAGCCACTTTACTGGCCCTATTTACTTAATTTTCGAGACAGGGTCTTTAAAAAACTAAGGTTTAGGCTAGTCTTAAGCCTGTAGTAGTCTTGTCGCCTCTGCAAGTGATGTGATTACAGGCATGTATGTATGTATTGGGTGGACTTGGAGATTGATCCCAGGATTTCGCATACAGGAGGCTTGTGCTCTTCCCCTGAGCTATATCCCTTGCCATTTGTTTTGTTTTGGTCTTTAAGTCAGAGGCTCCAATCGGTGACCTTCATGTCTCAGTCTGCAGAGTCTTGAAATTACAGGAGTGAACTGTGTGTCAGCGTTTTCAGATTCTGAGAGGCCCCTCCTCTGTCCAGTCAGTCTTCTTCAGGCCTGGGTGATTCTGCACCCTGCTTACTTCGTGCTCACTGGCTATCGAATGTGACAATATACAGGATGTAACCTGGATTTCATCACCTTCCCCAGCTTCATCTGAGATTATATCAGCCCTGCAGCTGCACGAGATACTGTTCTTGGTGAACATCTGTGAGCAAGCAGACCCGTTTCTGTGGTTTTCAGTTGTAGACGGTCTTGACTGTGGTAGCGCGCTGGCTCGTTTCTCAGGAGTTCTCTTGTTAGCATTTTCAGCAGATGTTTGCAGATGTGCTGCGAGAGCCCTCGGGGAACACAGTCCCCTGATCATTGCTTGTGACCTGAACAAGATTGCATGTTCCTTTAAGATGGAAGAACTGTAAACAGAAAGCCTGCTTCTGCTCTGTACCCAAGCAAATAGTGTGACGCAGCAGAGCAGTGCACTAAGAAATAAGGCACACCCGGGTAATGAGTGTCTGAGGAATCACTTCTTCTTGATTTTGTTATCTAGTTATTGGTGGTGGTTTGTGTCCTTATGAAAAGTGGTTATAAAATTTGAGTTAAATCAGATCATTTCCACATAGGTTAACTTATATCATTTTTATGACAGATTTGCCCTTTTTGAAGGGACTAGCATGCTGTGGCATTGTTTCTACACACCTCAGATAGGAACTTTAATTGTTACATTGAACATAGAGCTGATCATTTGTATGTTTTGTTTTTAGTTTTTAAACGTTTATTTTTCTGTACAAGTGTGTACTTGTTTGTGAAGGTAAGCTTGTGCCACAACATTCGTGTGGAGATCAGAGGACAAACTGCCTGGCTTTTTACAGGGTTCAAGGGTCATCACTCGGGTCATCAGTCAGGCTTGCATGGCAGGTGCTTTGACCCACTGAGCCATTTTCCAGGACTCCACTTGATTTTAAGTGTTGCTTGTTTCCTGCTGTATTGTTAGTCCTGTCTCTCAAAACCTTTACACATATGGACAGCAACAAGTCAGTTAGTTTTCCGGCTATCTTGGATTTGAAAAGCAGAGCTAGGATCATATTTTTGTTAGCTAATTTTCTGATTCATCTTCACCTGCTCCACAACTGTTTAGAAACTGTTATGCCTTGCAAATAAAGGTCAGCTCAGCGCTAGGGGGAAGACATGGCCACAACCAGGACGGTTCTGTTGGGTGTTCATTCACACAGTTGTGCCACTTGGAGCCAGGATCCTTGAGTGAGTGGTAGGAGGCAGGCCCGCTGTCTGTCCCGGAATGTGGGAAGTCACTGCCACCTCCCTTTTTTGTTCCTTCCCCACTGTGGGAAAGCCATAGGCAGTGCAGATGCAGACACAAACGTGGTGGCTGATCAGCCACTTCAGCGTCATTTCAAGCCTCTTGTAATTGTGTGTGTTCCTCTGTTTAAAGATAATGGGAAATTCATCCGAGTTCCAGAAAGCAGTCAAGTTAGTGATCAACACCGTTTCATTTGACAAAGATTCCACTGTCCAAGTCTTTGAAGCTACAATAAGGTAAAGTAGCATATGTCTTTTTTGGGAGTGGGGGTAAGGGACTTAATTTGCCTAAGGATATTTCAGCTAGAGTTCGTGTGGGCAATATGTACTCCACATAAATTATTCATGTTCATTTTAGTTTCATATTTATGAAAAGTTGTACTTTTGATACTTTTGAATATCATCACATTTTGGACTACACAGAAACACACATTTTAACCATTACATAAGAGAGTTGTCTCTCAAATGCAATTTCAGTGATTCCATTCATATCTTTTCTTGATTCCTTGTTTACTGCCTTAGGAATCCTCTTCCATGTTTTTAAATGGAGTTTTGCATCTCTCCACCCATAAAAGCCACTGCTTGTTCTTTTGATGTCTTTTCTTCTTGTAAGGTTCTCATTTATCACCCACTCTTAGCTAAATAATGGTGGAATCATGACCTATACCCAGTTTTGTGCCCAGATTTCTTTAGTATGAAAAGTTGACTCTTTTCATGTTTAAATATTTTGAAAATTGTATTACTATACAACAGTTCAGACCTGGATCTGAATTCTGGAATTGAAATTATGATATGGTTTATCCTAAAATAAGAAAAGAATAAATCATTTGTTTGAAAAATGTTGCAGTCCTTTTTAGACAATTGAGATGGGACACTTACATATCTACAAGGCCATAAATCTAAGAGGGTAGCCTTCTGCTTTCCAGGATCTCATTTCCTTCTCCATGTTGTCTCACTAGACACTGGGGCAGTTCCTCAATCACCAGGCAGGCAGACCTGTAGGAGTTCCATGATTCTCCTGTGCCTTGTTCTCTTTCTCATATGGCTAATGTTTCTTTACCAAGCGAGATAAATCAGTAGGAATTTATTGATGCACATAGAAAATATGTCCTTTGAGAACAGCCAGTGGGCGCCTTCCTCATCAGCATAGTTCCTTAATGAATGTTCTAAGGGTAAGATGACCAAATTTGTTAATGCTTTAGTGACATTCATTCTCAGTTGTCTCAAATGGGTAATACCCATCTTGCTGTCAGCAGTGCAGTGAACTGAGAATCAGTCCCTTAGAGCCCAAGGGGACAGCCCAAGAGGAAGCTACTGAACCAGGTTCTTCTGTGCCAGGCAGTTTGGAGCTTGAGAAGAAGTAGAGACATCTTTCTTCTTTGTAAGCTGGATTCTGTGCACTTGTAACAATATGCTTTTATTATAATTTTTCCTTCCTGCTGTCAGGGTTCTCGGAAGCCTCCTTTCTGCTCACAGAATAATAACTGACTCCAGACAGCCCTTTGGTGACATGACAATTGAGGATTATGATAACGAATTATTGTACATGGCCCATGACCTGGCCGTGCGGCTTCTACCAGCTTTTGAAAACACCAAGACAGGGATCCCCTATCCTCGGGTAAGTGACTGGTTTGTTCACTGTTTTGCTGTTTTTGAGACATAGTATTGTGCCATGTAGCTCAGGCTGGCCTTGAACTTGTGATTTTTGGGCATCAACCTCCCAAATGATAGCATTACAAGTGTGAGTTACCATACACACAATTTCACAGTTTTTCTGAATTTTCACAATTCACAATTGTCCTGAATTCAAACTTTTATAAAAGGAATGGGGCCTGGCTATGAGACAAGAGTGATGTCCTTGGTCAGTTGTTAAAACTTCCAGCATTCTCTGAGTGCCTTCTGTGTTCCAGGCACACAGTTTCCCGAAGACCCTCACATGTGTGCAGGAATTCAGTGAATGCTCATTTGAGTGCTTCACATACCTGCAAGTGAGGCCTACAGGGCCAGCCAATTAGATGCTGATTTAGGTACAAGTGAGATTGTGTTTGTGACATCTGATTTAGCAAGCCAAATGACTCTTCTGGGAATTGTGTCAGCCAGACCACAGCACCTCCTTGATGAAATTGGCTGTCAGGCTGTGGCTGAACCTCGAGTCTAGCAGAGTAGGAGTGAGTCTTTAGAAACTAGGCTAGAATCTATTACATCTTGTGTTTGTCTCTGACCCTGTAGGAGTTACTTTTCTGTTGCAGTGCTGAAATGCCAAGACCTAAAGTCACTTTTAACAGAAGAATTTGTTTTAGCTTATGGCCCTGGAGGGAGAGTCCAGAATGTCAGGGAAGGCATGGAGCAGCAGGAAGCTGGCCAGCCACATCTTATACAGGAAGCAGAGAAATTGAACAGGAACCCTCAAAGCCCACCCCAGTGACATACTTCTTCCTGTAAGGCTTAAAGGTTAGGATTCCATTGCCTTAGCAAACAGCCTGCTGCCTGAGCACCCAGTGTTCAAACACATGCGCCTGTGTGGAGCACCACAGACCCCAGAGCCTGGTGCTTCTGTAGTTGGGAAGACACTTGGTAGAAAGTGGTGAATTAAGAAATGAGGGTAGGACTCTATGTTCTGACTGTTTACTGGTGTCTCAGACAAGTGAGCCGTGTTGTCTGGTCCATTAGCTGAGTGTCATATCTCCATGGGACTTTTCAGCACTGCATTCTTAAGCTTTGCTATAAAACTTTTTTTTTTTTTAAGTGAGATCTTGCTTATGAGCTGAGGCTGCTTGAACTTGCTGGCTTCCACATGAGCCTTCTGCCTTGACTTCTGACTACTGGGGTACAATTGCTCAACACAACTTTTGATTCTTCCTATCCCAGGTGAATCTGAAGACAGGTGTTCCCCCTGACAGCAATAATGAAACCTGCACAGCGGGCGCTGGTTCTCTCCTGGTGGAATTTGGTATTCTGAGCCGACTGCTGGGGGATTCCACTTTTGAGTGGGTTGCCAGACGAGCTGTGAAAGCCCTCTGGAACCTTCGGAGCAACAATACGGGATTGCTAGGTAGGGTTCACCATGTGCCATCAGTTGAGTTGATCTGTGTAACCTGTGGTCCCCTTTCCTTCCTCTGTACTATGCTCTGTACTTCATCTTCCTAGTCCAAGTGGATCTGGAAATTAATAACTAACAGCAGCTGTTGGTGCTGCCTGGGTCTGGTTTCTTCACATAACCTTCTGCTTAGTGTGAAGTTTTAGGGTTTGGTGGAAGATTCATAATGGTTCAGCTGTTTTCAGCTGTTAGAGCCCCCTTGATTCAGATCCCTTGGTATAGTCCATTGAAAATTATTAATAGGATTAATAATCAGTTATTAATTGTTACTAGAAATGCCATAAAAGGAACAGTCTCAGAGGCAGACTTTATTGCTTCAATATAAGGTTCTAAAAATACAGGAACTTAGCATTTCCAATAGAGAGACTTTCTTCTTCTTCTTCTTCTTCTTTTTTAAAGATTTATTTATTTAATGTATACACGGTGTTCAGCCTCCATGTATGCCTGCAGGCCAGAAGAGGGCACAAGACCTCATTACAGATGGTTGTGAGCCACCATGTGGTTGCTGGGAATTGAACTCAGGACCTCCTGAAGATCAGCCAGTGCTCTTAACCTCTGAGCCATCTCTCCAGCCCGAGACTTTCTTCTTTAAAGAAAAGGGGGTGGAATCTCAGTGAAAGCCTAGTTGAAACGTATTAGATTTTACCACCCTTGAGGATATTTAGTCAAAATATTTAAAAGCTATTATGGAAAGGTTTACGCTTTAGTAATAGACATAATAAGAATAATATCCTTTATGTATTTATCATGACATTTGTCTTTAGTAACTATCCGATTTTGCTAACTCACAGTGTTGTTTTAAAATAGGTTTTTAACATCATAAAATTGTCTTACTGGGACATATTTTCTTTTTGACATCTGAAAATAAGTTGGTTGTTTTGGAACTATATTGGATCATTTATAAAAAAAATTTTTAGTAAATTTTGTCTTCTGAGGTTTATGTGCAAACTTTATACATTGAATAACAACAGTAGAAATAAAGTCACTCAGGCTGGAAGTGGTGATGCGTACCTGTAAATATAGCACTCTGAAGGCTGAGGTAGCAGTTACGGTGAGTTTGAGGTCAGCCAGGGCTGCGTAATGAGACCTTGTCTCAACACGGAAGGCCACTTAGCTTTTTATGGGCCCTCTTAGTCCCCACGTGTAACTTCTGTGACTTTGCAATTATAACACAGAACTAAGAGGAACAAAGTTTGTATGCTGTGTGTGTTTGGTAGATCTTTCTAATATTTCCAAATTGTTGCCTTACTTTCATAGTTACCAGTTTTCAAAATCTATACTTTATTTTGTTTGCTTTTTTTTAAATCCTTTTTTGATAAAACTTTTGCTGTGTACCACCTGCTGTCTCCCACTCTCTGTGCAGCCCAGGAGGCCTCAGACTCCTCAGCCTTTCCAGCCTGCACTTCCACACCTGGCTGCTTCTTATGGTGTTAAAGCTCAGGTGCTTGTATGTATTAGGCAACTGCTCCACCACTGATATATTTCCCAGCTCTGACCTTTAGTTTTTATAAATGTTATTTTCAAGACAAATTCCAAGGAATGAGAATATGGGGTAAAAGACCGTGAATGCTCCTTTGGGTTCTAAAATACATTACCATTCTGGGAAAGCAGAATGTCAAGCCTATTTTTTTTCCATTAAATGTTTATTCCCATTTTTTATCTGTGACTGAATACATGCACATACACCTGAGTACTATAGAATGACCTCTCTGTTTTCCAAGTTATTGATAGGACTAATCAAAAAATTTAGATTCAACTGTCCATTCCTCTTACCTGCCTGGGATAAGGATGCTGAGAAACAGTGGACAGGAGGAGGAACCGTGGTTGGACCTGAAGCACCTTGTTTGTTTGTTTCTGCAGGCAATGTTGTGAACATCCAGACAGGCCACTGGGTTGGCAAGCAGAGTGGCTTGGGTGCTGGGCTGGATTCCTTCTATGAATACCTCCTGAAGTCTTACATTCTTTTTGGAGAAAAGGAAGACCTGGAGATGTTTAATGCTGCATATCAGAGCATCCAGAGCCACCTGCGAAGAGGGTGTGTGTCCCTGATGGCACTTCTGTCACCCAACAGTGTGTTCGATTCCTGCCCAGCTCTGTTTTACTTGTTTTATTTTTACTGTGTATTTTATTGTTTTTGGAGAGGGCTATGTGTGCCGTGGCGCACACATGGAGGCCTGAGGGACGACTTGCAGGAGATGGTTCTCTACCATGGTAGCCCAGGAATGGATTCTGGCTGTTCAGGCTCGATGGCAAACATCTTCATCCCTCAAACCTTCTCACTGTCTCCTTCAATATTTTAAATTTTGGGGGTGGAGTCTCACTCACTGGGTAGCCCTGGCTAACCTGGTGTTTGGACTCGGACTTGCAGCAGCCCTCTTGCGTCTCCTTCCTGGGCGTGGGAGTCACAGTTGTATTCCACCACACACAGCGAGGGGCTGGTTCCAGCTCTGCAGTTGGCACGGCCTGCAGTTGACTAGCACTTCTTGCAACAGCCTCCTGTGTGCTGGGATTATAGTTGTGTCTACCCTACTAGCTCCATTTCTCTTAATATAAACTCTCAGGTTCTATTTGTGTTCTCACTTAATCATCTCCCTTAACTGATTGTTAGTCATTTGGGAGTTGGCCATTGTGTATCATAGTATCCAAACCTGGTGGCTTAAAATATCTCACAGTTCCTAAGGGGATCTGGGAACTGGTGAGTCATTAATTTGGGACCAGGATCTCAGATGAAGTGCTCTTAACCCCTGAACCGTTTCTAACGATGGAGAGTTAGCTCAGCCCCTGCTCAAAGTCTGCTTAAAGTACTGTTTACTTTTCCTTTTCTGTACATTTAGGATGTCCATTGAGACCGTGTCCCTGGAACAGCTGTGCAAAGTACAGAGGCTTCCGGCCCAGCCCCCAGCTCCCCTCCCCCAGGCCTTTCTCTGTCCGTTTATGTAGTAAATGGCTAATGCAAGTAATGGCTGCCGAGCTTCTGCTTTCACGAGCTTTTGACTCATTTCTATATCAGCCATAGGAGGGACCTTTTTTGTGGGAACTTTTGGGGACTGGAGAGATGGCTCAGAGGCTAAGAACCTGGTCATTTTTGCTAAGGACCCAAGTATGATTCCCAAAACCCGTATGTGGTGGCTCAAAACCTCTAACTCCAGGTTCAGGGCATTGGGCGCCCACATGCACATGCTTAAACATACATGCAGACACTCACAAACAAAACCGAAACTCTTGCAGAAAAATACCTAACACTTCTTGAGTTGTCATTTTTGCCTTTGTTTTCTGTTTTCTTTTTCTGGTGTGGGTGCTGAGTGTGGCTGTTGCTGCAGCTCTTCTGGTTGTTTTATCAGACAACCCTTAAAACTGCGGATGTGAACCACAGCGTGGTTTGAATGTCATTGTTAAGGAGAGATTATGCTAATTTTATGTTTGTTACAGTTTTGCCGTTTTTGCCAAAGCATACTCTTCTTTGCCCACCCAGACTCGCCACCCTCCTGCCTCAGCTCCTGTATTCACTACCATGCCAGTTCATTTTAGCTTTACAAAATACTGAACAAAATTGAGTAGACAACTCTCAGGGTCCTGCCTTGATGCATCCCTACAGGTCCTTCCCCCCCCCCCCCCCAGGACTGTGTTCTTTCTGTATCAGAAAAGAGACTATGAGGGCAGTAAAATATGCTTCCCCGCTTGGGTAGAGGCCAACACAGATGAATTCTGTGTTCTGTAACTCAGATGTGAAAGTGCTTTTTGTAAATGTAATGAAGTCTTGATAGTTCACAAAGGCTACATTTAGAATTGCTACCTGTTTCTGTCTGTTGGTCCTTGTGTAGACACATACAGGCAGTCTTACTGCCAAAGGTTTGAGGAAGGCATTGAGAAGAAGTTAACATTGGTTTTGCTTCAGTGAAACCCCAGGAGGTAAACTGACAGAGGAATAGAGCTGCAAGCTTCCTTTTCATCTTGGCTTGTACTCTTTGGATCCACAGCCGGGAAGCCTGCAATGAAGGAGAAGGAGACCCACCACTCTATGTCAACGTGAACATGTTCAATGGGCAGCTCATGAACACCTGGATTGACTCTCTGCAGGCTTTCTTCCCTGGGCTGCAGGTATTTGCATTCATTTGTGGCTCAGTGGGGAAAAGTGCTTGCTGTATGAGCACTCACCTGAAAAGCCAGTGGTGGCAGCATGCATCTATAATCCTGGTGCCGGGGAACGAGGGGGGACAGCACACAGATGAGAGGTGTTCACTGGGTGCTTGCTTGTAGGCCTCCGCACTTTTCTGTGTACCTACACTAGCTGGTTGCTAGCTTAGCTCCAGGGAATAAGGTGGAGAGTAAGGGAGCGGATGTCCTACTTTGGCCTTCAAGTGTATTGCATGAGCGAATATACGTGTGTGCATACAGCGCAGATGCACGCGTGTGTGCACACACAATCCCAATTTATTAAGAATAAGCCTTTATTAGGAAAGCCCTCTCCCCCCTTTTCATCCTGAGCATTCTCTGACTCCTTTGGATTTGGAAAATAGCACATCTTGATCTTTCTGAAATCAGTCCCTAGACTTGAAAATCTGCCTGTGATTTTAGATAATTTGCCTGTGTTGTCTCCATAGGTTCTGATAGGGGATGTGGAAGACGCCATCTGCCTCCACGCCTTCTACTATGCCATATGGAAACGATACGGGGCCCTCCCTGAGCGCTACAACTGGCAGCTCCAGGCCCCTGATGTTCTCTTTTACCCACTGAGACCAGAGTTAGTGGAGTCCACCTATCTCCTCTACCAGGTAAAGGGCTTGCTGAGCAGTGCTGTGCCTTTGCACCGTGTCTTGATAGAATTGCTACCTATTTCTGTCTTGCTAGAGGTCACTTCTTGATTCTCTAGGATGGAGAAAGTGTCTGCAGCCAAATACACTTTTAACCTTACATTTAATAAGGATTTTTGTTTTTACTGTGGGCTTAATTTTCTTATCCCTGAATATTCAAGAGAAGAAGAGAAGACTTCATCTTACAGTTTCCAGATTTGTTTGGTCAAAGAACTCTTCGGGGGATGTGAATTTTTTTTCCCAGCTCTCTGGTGACATAAAAGTATTAACACAAAAGTTTTTTTTTTGTATGTATGTTTCTAAAAGAGAGATTTATTATTGCATGATTACTGTAGTAACAGAGGAAATGTTACTCTGAAATGTCTTCTTGACGGCTGAACCTGGCACACAAACTTTTTCACATGTTCTACACACATACACATAGTCACAGACCCATCAATGTAAGCTTTTAACTTCCCAGGAAGCTGGCTCTAGTGAGCTTAGTAGATATGAAACAGGCAGCTACCGTGTGCAAGGACCTCATTCTTAGAGATCCCGATGGTAGGATTCGTTCTGTGCTTTAGATTTATCAAAAAAAAATTATACTGAACTTGAAGTCACTGCTTCTAGGTTGAGGAACGTGTGTGTGTGTGTGTGTGTGTGTGTGTGTGTGTGTGTGTGTGTGTGGTGGGGAGACTCCAGTGAGACTGGTGTTAGTTCTCGTATCTCAGGAGACCTCACTGAGTTTAGAGACTGCCTTGAAAAGGGGAAGAGGTGATCTTGGACCTGATTTCTCTGAGCTTAGTGTAAGGTGAAGCTTGGCATGCTCCGAGGACATCGTCCCCGCTGCTGAGTGGCTTGTCGCTGGCTTAGCCCTGTAGCCTGTCTAACGCCTCCTTGTCTTCAAGCCACCCTTGTCCACCATGCGCTTAGAACCCAGAGGAATCTTCCCCTCACAGGTTTCTCCTCTAAGCCTATCCCAGGCTCTTGGCATAGAGGCGGCCAACTTGCTCTGTCTCCTCTTGTTGCTGTATGTTGGCAGCAGGCCTGAGTTAGAAGTTTGGGGGTAAAAGTCTTATTTTCCCAGAGAATCTCCTCCCATAACCAGAGAGCATGTGACAGAGGAACAAGGAGCTCAGCTCCGATTTCCTGGGTAATTAGAGGAGAGTGTTCAGGTTCCTTTACAGTCCTGTCCTGGAGGACTGTCATCTGTGCCTCTGCAGTGACTGGAATGAGGTGAAGTAAGTTTCTAGGGACTTGTGAGGCAAGATGGAAACTGGATTTTTCTCTGAAGTAGTACCTCTAGGGGGGCATTGTTTCTGCTCTGACCATGATAGTCGTCAGTAGAGCCAAAGTAGTGATCTTTCCTTGTGCAGATTTCCTGCATACAGTTAAATACATCACAGGTATTTACAGTCTGAGTGCCTTAGTCAGATGGGGTGAGTCTCGCCCCGTTTCTTCCTTTAGGTGGGGACTCAATTCCTCAGGGAACCCCCGCAGTCCCTCTGATGTGTGTTGATGGTGTCTCTTCCAAGCTCTTCCTGCATCACACTCTCTTGTGTTCTGTCTAGGCAACCAAGAATCCCTTCTACCTCCATGTGGGAATGGACATTCTGCAGAGCCTGGAAAAATACACAAAAGCCAAGTCAGTACTCTAAACTCCTTTCTTTTGTTTGGGTGCTTAGATGCTTACGATTGACTGAGAGTTGTTCTGGACAAATGATAATTTAGTTATGTATATTTATATATTTATTTTATGTGTGTAGATGCTTTATCTGTTTATATGTCTGTACCATGTGTGTCCCTGGTGTCCTTGGAGGCCAGAGAGGGCACTGGATCCCCGGTGACTGGGTTTCAGATGCTTGTGGGCTGCCATGGGAGTGCTGGGAATTGAACTTGGGTCCTCTGGAAGAGCAGCTTGTACTCTTAACCCCTAAGCCTTTTCTTTATCCTCCCTCCCCCAAGGTTTTTTTTTTAAAATATTTTAATTATGTCAGTGTGTGTCTGTGTGGAGAATTACAAAGTTGGTTGTGAGCTGCCCATTGTGGGTCCTGGGAACCAAACTGAGTTCCTCAGCAAGAGCACTGCAAGCTCTTAGCCAGTGAGCCATCTCTAGTCCCTTAGTTATTTTTTAAATATGTTTACTTATTGTGTGTGCACACGTGTGTGTGTTTGCACTCGTGCACACATATGTTCATGTGTGTATGTAGGAAAAGAGTTGCCACATACATGCCACAGTGCATTGTGGAGGTCAGAGGACAACCTGCAGGAATCCTTTCTATCCCTACCCTGTGTGGGTCCTGGGGTCTGAACTCAGGTTGTCACGGTTGATGGCCAAGGAGTCATCTCCCTAGCCAGGAAATATTATTTGCTCTTCAAGTGTGTAGTACAGATACCAGTGTTAGTTTGAGCGAGAAATAGTTTACCTTTTAATACAGTTGAATTTCTTTATTATAGTAGAAATTGCATTTTTATGTCCCCCCAATATTGTGTAAGATTTCAGCAAACTGTGTTTGCTTTTTGAGAAGTTTATTTTTATTCCAGTAATTCATTAAAGTACTTAAGCAGCACAAAAGATATTAAGAGTGGAAAATTCTTGTGATCTATATCTACAGGTCACCATGGTAAATACTAAGTACCCATGCATAGTATCTTCAATTTATTTGTTACATTTATGCATTTGTTGTATGTATATGTATGCATACACACATAAATAAAAAACATACTTGTATTTTGTAGCCTGCTTTTTTTGTATATTACCTAGAAGTATATGATAGAAAATGCTGTTTTAGGATATGCCAATAATAGTTCATTTCCACAAATACTGGGATGAACAATTTAAATCAGTTTAAATTCTAAGTTTATTCTCAGTCATTTTCATGATGCCATGTTTGACTTTTGGTAAACACCCTGCAGTGTCCTCTGTCCCCAGCTTGACGCTAACCTGATAAGAAGCAATCCAAGCATGCTTTAAAGTAAATTTGCGAATAATTAATGCTTAAAAAAAAAAGAAAAAGAACAGCCCTTCAGCCTAGCATAGTTATTTTGTATGTTGTATTGGAGAAATGGGTTGATTGTCTTGATAATAGAATAGTTTGGCAGGTAATGAGCACAAGGGAAGGAGCCTGAAGCAGGGCTAACTGGACCCTTATTTTGTAGATGTGGGTATGCCACGCTGCATCACGTCATAGACAAGTCTAAAGAGGACCGAATGGAGAGCTTCTTTCTCAGTGAGACCTGTAAATACTTGTATCTGGTACGTGTGTTGCAAGATTAACCAGAGGTGCTGTGGAGAACAAACATTTGTGCAGTCTTCTTTCTCTCAGACAAATATTGACTAGTCACTGCTGTGTGCTGAGTATTGTACGTTCCCAGAGTTACAAAAGGATATTGCTGTCTTCCTTCATGGTTGTCAGCCTCCTGGAGAAGTTATTTGTCCTGTAAACAGAAATGAGCTCATGGTTAGAAACTGTGGTAAGGACTGATAGAAAATCAGCTTTGTGGTGGTCTTCTGGAGACTTCTGTGAGGAAGAGAGCAGCGCTTTTCTTCTTTTCTTTCCCCCTGGATTATTGGACATTGAACTCAGAACCTTGTGCAAGCCAGCCAGGTGTTTTACGACTGAGCTACACTCATGTGTTGGTTCAGACCTGCAGCCGGGCTGCCGACTGGTCCCCATGCACATCTTCAGGCATGCCTTTGTGTATGTGGGGAGGGGAGGGTTTCTGGACCTGCTAGAGACTTTGGGATTATTTAGTCACTCTTCGTCCTACTCTTTTGGGAACTACACCTTGCACTGAGAAGTCAGCTAACTTGATTGAGGTCTTGGGGTGACCACATAGCTGAATGAGGCTTGAGCCTCGTGTCCTGTACTCCTTCAGCTTCTGCATTTTGTCACAGACATGTGTAGTGCCTATGTGCTTATGTGTGTAGCCTCTTTTCTGTCATGGCTACATACATACATACATGCATGCTTACGTACATACATACATACATACATACTTACACACATACATACGTGCTTATACACACACATACATACATACTTACATACATACTTACATAGATACATACTTACATGCATACATAATACATACATACATACTTACATGCATGCATACATACATACGTACATACTTACATACTTGAAAGGCACAGATTGAAGCAGCAGCAGTAACAATAGATTGTGTCCCATAGTTCATAGGTCCTCAGACCTGGGGCAAACTAGCCAGCTAGGAATGAACCTGGGGCCTTTTTAAGATTCCTTCACATTGAGTCTGAGTCTTTGAGAAAAACAGGCTTGAGAATTTAATTTTGACAAAAGCCTGCATTGATAATATGCAAAGCCATGTTACAGATAAGGTGATGGGTGTAATCCATGTTCTTCATCTCTGATTACACCGCTTACGATCTGGGGTATATGAAGCAGACGGTACTTAGTTCTAGGATTCAGGTGTGAAAATTATGTGGGGAGCCTTTATAGAAGCCTGGGCCTGGGTGCTGGCCCTGGAGTTTCTGATTCTCTGGTTCTTGATGGGGAGTGAGGACTGGGGCACTTCCAGGCTTCCAAGGTAAACAAAGTAAATCCTGCATTGCAGCCCTGGGCTGGGAATCGAGCTGTCAGCTGACGCCTTTCATCCCAGTTTCTTTCCCAGAATCTCAGAACCCTTTGCTGTGAGTTAGTTAGAAAAGTTCTCCAGTTCCCAGTTGTAGGTTTGTTCTTAGGTTTGGTGCTGGGGATTGACCCAGGGGCTGGGTGAGCCTCGTAAGGACTTAGAGCTGTATCCCAGCTCCGGTTCTCTCTACTCCTCTCCCTTCCCTTTTCTCTTCCCCTTCTTTTCTCCCCTCCCTTCTCCTCTCCTCTCTCTTCCCCCTTCTCTCCCCCTACCTTTTCTTCTTCCTCCTCCCCACCCCCTTTCTCTTTTTTTCTTTCTGTATGGCTAGCCTGGAACTCACTGTGTAGACCAGGTTGGCCTCAAACTCATAGAAATCTACCTGTCTTTGCCTCCCTAGTGCTGAGATTAAATTTATAAGCCACTGTGCCCAGCCAATCCCAGTTTTCTTCTTGCTTCTTTTTCTCTGTGTCTAGCTGTTTGATGAAGAGAATCCAGTACACAAATCTGGAACCAGATACATGTTTACAACAGAGGGCCACATCATATCTGTTGACAAACATCTTCGGGAATTGCCTTGGAAGGAGTTCTTTGAAGATGGAGAGCGGGACCAAGAGGAAAAGTTTGTGCACAGGCCCAAGTCTCAGGAGTTCAGAATCATTAACTCCAGTTCTAACGTGAGTTTCTTTTTCCACTAAAAGAAAATATTAAATCCTTTGGCATTCAGAATTCTGCCACGACATAGATGACACATTCAGAATGTGTAATTTGGCAAGAGTTCCTAAAGGAACCATCCATTTACATCTAGGGAAACCAGGACCAGCAGTACAGGGATCAGTCCTGGCTGAAACCAGGACCAGGAAGGAGTACAAGGATCAGTCCTGGCTGAAACCGGGACCAGCAGTGCAGGGATCAGTCCTGGCTGCAGGGGGAGGTAGAGAGTGGTACAGCATTCTGGAGAGGTAATCGTGAGAGGAGAGGCCACTGGCAGGTTCCACTGCTTAGATTTAGTTAGCTTCAGTGATATTCAGGAAGGAGGGCAGCTGCATCAACAGCAGATCCCTCCCTCAACTCTTCATCTGATGTCTCAAGTTGTATTTTGATGCCAGGTCTCAGTTACTAATGGAGCACAAGCTGGCTTTGGACTGTATAATGGAGGCTGGCCTTGAAGTCTCCTGCCACTAACTCCCAGTGCTAGAACTACAAATGTGTCACAGTGCCTGACTCTTCCTGATCCCTTACTGGTGCTCCTCCTAGGCTGCTTCCACCCAAGCCGGAGGGCAAGAAAGAGTGCTGCTTTCGCCCATGAAAGCACATTCCTTCGGGTGAGGAGAGGGTCCCCAGGGAACACTTCAGGAAGACTGCCGACCACCCGCCAGGAGGATAGGGAAAGCAGTCACTCTGTTTTAAATCATCTTTTCATTATTGTTTTGTGTTTTGAGACAGGATCTCATGTAGCCTTGTCTGGCTTCAAACTTTCTGTGTAGTTGAGTCAGGTCACTAGTTCAGGGACATTGGCAGTTTCTGAGTTGTTTTTGGTACAACTGGAGGCTGGAAGTTGTTGCTGGCCCCTTAGGTGGGGAAGGCCAGAGGGACTGTTCTGTTCACTCCCCTCTAATGCACCAAGCAGCTTCCCATAACAAAGAAGCTTCTGTCTCAGAATGTCACTGGCCGTGGGTTCATGTTTCTTGGGGTTCTAAGCTGAATCTACTTTTGTCTTCCCAGTGCAACCGTGTTCCTGATGAGAGGAGATATTCCTTGCCCTTGAAGAGCATCTACATGCGCCAGATCGACCAGATGGTTGGCTTGATTTGACCTGCTCACCTCAGTGTGGCCAGACCTTAAACCAAATCCAAGCATACCAAAACCTCCTCTAAGATGGAAGGGTTGGAGTCTGTCGTCTGTGACGCTGTAGAAGTTTCTGTCCAGCTCTTACCTCTGGTTGATTCTTGCACCTAGTGTTTCCCTTCTCTTTAATAAAACACCCTATTTTTCTGAAGGATACAATTAGAAATGGGAAGCTATGTGGGAGCTTCTTTTGATACGCTGATGTTCTTAAGCACAATGGATGCACCTCTTTGGGTGGTTCTTCCCAACTTCACACGTAGAATGCCTGTCTCGTCACTTTGTGTCCACTTGCTGTGCTGAAGTACTGCTACCTCTCTGCTAGAGGATCAGGGATGGAAGTCCTGTGCAAAGGTCCCGAGGTTCCCTTGGCATCACTACTTACAGCAATGCAAGTCTCGTCCCTTCTCTCTCTCACGTGGTCATCATGCTGTGCCCAGATAGCCAGCCATGATTTTGGATCACATGGGGGAAATTCACCTGGTCTATTTATGTCTTAAAGTTATTTATACAGTGTTATTTTCGTGTGATGGTCTAGCCAGAAATCTTCCAGGTAGCCTCTAAAGTTAGATTGGAATCTACGAGATAACAGATCTTTTGAGCTATAATGCTTTTATTTTCAACATCAACTTACCTGAAGAACTCATGGGTCCAGAACCAGGTGCCTTTTAGGGAGAGGAAAACCTTAGGATTGTCTGAGCTTCCAGCTCTTGTGTTTCATAACCAAGGATGCTCGATGCTGACCATCTTTGGGTTAGACACATTAGCTTATGTGTAGTGCTAATTAGATAATCAGGGTCAAAGAAATGATCAGATGACATTCTGACATCCTTGAGCCATTTCTCTATGTGATACAGGCTTTAGATTAGTGCCTTAATGGGTTTTGTTTGGGCCATTGGCTGTCGCAGCCACTGTGGTGACTGTTGACAGCTGGTTTTGTATTGCCATCTGATAGAACCACTTAAGAGCAGGATTCCTGGAAACCAGTTTGTCAGTTTTTGCCTTTTTAACCTGTGATTTTAGCCAGGCATAAAGGAGGAAATTAAGAGGAAATACTTTTTATTCTTTCTTTAGCAAATAGAAAGCTCTCTGAATTTACACTGACTGTTCCTAAGAAGCAGAGCTGTGTCTGACCCTGAGCCTGACCTCCTTGCATTGTGACCTTTCTAAAGGCATCCTAGACAAAGGGTGGGGCATCTATGAGAAAGCCAATCCAGCCTCACATGTCTTGTGTCTTTCCTGTACTGTTTATACACTTAAAATTAGTTCATTCCAGTGTTCTGTAGCCAGGAAAAAAAAGCCTCTGGACCATTTGATTTTAGTCAAAAGAGAGAAATTATATTCTTTCTTCAAAATATGTTACTGTTTTGAAAATAGGTATGTCATTCAGTTCCTTGGCATTTTTAAAATGGGGATTTCAGTAGTGAATGTGTCACCTTTTAAACACTATGCAATTGGTTTTATTTATTTGTTACAAATATTAAATGCTTCTGTTTTCTTTTGATTTCACAAGCATTGTTCTGTGTATCAACCGTGTCTCATCTACTGTACAGAAAGCTTTGAGAAAATTATCTATTTTATGGTTTTGTTAATTTAGTAAAAGTGTTAAACATGTGCATGTACAGGCGTGTGTGTGTGTACCCCTCCCTTTTTAACCTTTGCTCCAGGCAAATTCCCGTGTGACTGAACAATCCACTAGGGACAGTTGAAGACCTTTCAGGAAGGAAAGTGCGCTCGATCTTCGTGCTTCTCTCCTCTACAGTCTTCCCATGTCTGTGGTTCTGGGACAGCAGTAGTGTATGTCAGCGCCGAGCAGTCTTCTCCCTGCACTCCTGAAATAGTGATCTGTGTCTAAAAGTAATTATCATGGTGCCTTGAGTGCTCTCAGTGTCTCCCAGGTCCAGGCAGACATGCAGTGCATTTTATTGAGTCTCAAACCCCCTTGACTTTTGGGTACTGGACTTTTCACCTGTTGAAAAGGCTGGGGGTAAGACAATGCCTATAAGTCGTAGTTATTGAGCTTCTAGATTGCTCAGTGATTGTGGGGCCAGATGGAGAACACTGCCTGAATGCCAGTCATATAAAAAGCATTTGAGTCAAGTTCGAAGCTGACTTGTTTGCTTTCTGAAAAATCAGAATGTCATTAGCTGCGATGTATATCTTGCAGTATGTTTGCTGTTCCTTCTAGTCTGCGTGCTGAAATATGGATAGAAATTCTCTAATTCATTCATTGTTCTAAGAATACCTGGAATGTAAACAGATAGCCTCACAGAAGTTTGAAACATCTGTAGAGTGGACCATGCTTATGTTCCCAGGAGTAGCCAGTGTCTAGTGTCCAGTTCGGCCAGCATGTTTGAAGTGTAGCAAGCTGTCTTATGGTTAGGTGTGGAGCCTAGTTCTCCTATAAAAATAGGCTTGCCTTAGCTAAATACTGTGACAGAGAAACTCCATTCTCTTAGAAAAGGGGACACAAAGGAATGCTTGGTGACTCTCTGATTGCTTTGGCCATTATGAAAAACAGGTTTGTTTCCCAAAGCTTCCCTTTAGTTTCTTCCTGATCTGCCAGAGCTGGCTTTTTATAACTGCATTGCTAGATCGGAATTGCTAGGACTTTTCTTGTCTTGGATTGTGGCTTCTGCACATGATATTCAAACAGTGTGCTGAAGGGAAAGCACATGGGGTAGTACCTGCACAGGGAAGTGTCAGGGACTCCATATTTTCCTGGTGTCATTACATGCAGTTGTCTTCATGCCATCTTCCCTCACCCCTGTGGAATAAAATATCCCTCTTAGCCACCTCCTCAGCTCGGTCGGTGGATGGGCGCCCGCTGTAGCTCTTCACTTTGGGTCTTGTAGACCCTACATCAGACAGCCTTCCCTTCAGGGCTCCGAGGTCTTGTTCTCTTGACATGGACACATTTAGTGCTGATCAGAGGCCAGGCCTGAGTGGTCACCACAGTCACAGAGTGGCTGAACAGAGACTTGAGAAGAAGGTACTGATCTTTGCTTTTCTGTTCCAGCTGTCCAGCGCCTACTCTAGTGCCTCTTCCCTGCGGGGCAGGGACTCCTTGTGACTTGGAGAAGGCTATGTGTGTGGGTCATGTGGCCCCGATTAAGCAGGGCTCAGGGTCATGGTCCCTCTTGAATTTGGATGTGAATCTCCTAAAGATGTCGAGTACCTGTGAAACCCTACTTCACTACCTTCCTCTTTCTGAGAGGTTTTCAGGTCGTTTGTTTTAGTGTTAAATAGCAAGCCACAAAGCTACGTTTTTATTTATTACACACACGGAACGTAAACCTGTTTTCACAAGACAAAAATCTAGAGTTGGAAACTCTGGGATAATTTACTGAGATGCACAAATGCTTCTCTCTCTGTGTGATGTGCAATATGCTTGGCGACCATAGATATTTTATGTTTAATCTGTAAATAAGAAATGTATTTAAATTAAATGGGAGATTTTTGTAAAAGGACCAAATGTTCTTTTATAAATGTACTAAGGAATATCTTGCTCTTTGAAATTTATTAGGATTTTTATGAATAATTTTTATTAAAAGATTCTTTTTTTGAGTTGTCACTGTGTTTCTCCTTTGAATACTTGGATATATTCATTTTGTGCTGGAAAAGGGGAAAGTCCTTTAGAGAAATGATGGGCTTTGATGACTAAACTCTTCAGATTTTGTTTTATAGTTTCCCTCAACAGCTGAGCTTTGAGAGATTTCTCTCCAGTCGTCTGTCACAGCTTTCTGTTTGAATAATGTTCTTCCCTGTGGACGCTGTGGACTTTCACATGTCCCATTGCTACCCCGTTACTACGTTCCCCTCCAGTGGTTCCTTCTCAGACTTGTCACTAGTTACCTGTTCTCTGCTGTCCTTAGCAAGGCGCCTCGTGTCATCCTCAGTGGTTACGATGGGGTAGCGGTGCTGGGCAGGGATGGCGCACGCCTGTATTCCTCACTCTCCAGAGGCTTGAGGCTAGCCTGGGTTACCTATCTGTAAAAACAACAGGGGCACCTTGGCTGGTGACGTGGGGAACGTTGTCCTCAGGAAGCTTGAAGAGCTTCTGGAGCCTCCCTTCTTGCACGGCTTTCTCAGGTTTTTGGTGGTAAAGTTAGCAGATCCTTTGTGGCATTTCAGTGTCCTCATCATCGGGCCATAGGCAGTTCTGAAAAAACCGAGGACCGAGCAGTGCCAGAAGGTTCAGGAGAGAGCCCTGGGATGAGGAGTATTTGCTTTTATGAAAGAGCTCTCCTTTTACCAGAGAGGCGCCTCAACAATTAAGAGCACTTCCAGGAGACTGGGGTTAGAATCGTAGTACCATATCAGATGGCTCACAACCTCCCGTCTTCAGTTCTAGAGGATCTGATGCCCTCCTCTGACCTCCCTGGGCACCCTATGCACATGAGCACATCATGCACACGCTCGCTCATGTGAACACAAAATCTTTTTAATTGCTATACCATCCTAAGGTGTTCTGTGTTTGTGAAGTGCCATGGGTTTGTACCATCCTCGTAAAACCACACTGCTCCAAGTTCATAGAGACAACAAACGAAAATCACATAGATCCTGTCTCTGGTGTCTATCCAGTTTTCCCAAGGTTCTTTGCCTCAATAATTGTGAGTGTACATCCTTGATCAGCCAGTATTGAGTGGTATGGAGTATGGAGCAGTCGCTTGTGAAGACAGAGCTTCCCAGTTGAAAGCCAGGGACTGTGGGTCCTAGCTCTGTACTGTCATTAACAAGTTAAAATTATTTTTATTATTTTTATTTATGGGTCCATGTGTGGGTCTGTGCATGTGAGTGCAGGTACCCGTGGAGGCCAGAAGCTTCAGATTCTCCCTGAAGCTGGAGTTTCATGCAGTTGCAAGTAGCCCAATGTAGGTGCTTTGTTACCCTTGCTGGTCTTGAACTTGATCGGATCAGTTGATTCTACCTGCCCTTTGCTAGGACTAGAGAAAGCCTTACATCACCATGCCTGGTTGTGACACAGTTTGACGCATAGTTTTTGACCAGTTATCCCCGTATTTCCTTTACCCTCCCATTATCCTCTTAACCTCTTTTAACCTTCCCATTAAACTCTTCTTCCCAAGCCCTGCTCCTACTTTGAGGGGTGTGGGTGCGTGCCAGTGAATTTCCTTAGGGTTGCTTTCATGAGCATGGGTGAGGAATTATATACTGGCGCAGGAGCAGCTTAGAAGTGACTACATCACTGAGAAGTAAGACTTCCTTCTCATAACACCATTAGCTGCCTGTAGCTCCTTGGGGAGGGCTGTGGTGATGGGCCCTGTCTTGCACAGGTGTTCGCTTTGCCGTGAGTTCCTATGTGCGGCGGCGACTGTCGTCTCCAGCAGAGGATAGCTCACAGCGCTCCCTCCCATCCCCTCTCCCAGTTCCCCAAGCCTTTCTTTGGAGGGCGGATATAGGAGTATTGAGCCTCATTTAGGACTGAACAGTCTAATAGCTTCAATATTCCTGTCATGTGGAAGAGGGCATGACAGTGTCGTGGTGAGGTTTGGGACAGATTCCCGTGTGTGAAGGCCAGCTCCTGGCGTGTGGAAGGCACCTGTGTTTCCTATAACAAAGGTCAAGGTGTATTTGTTTCCCAGGATAGGTCTTTGTGTATATTTTATTTATTTAAATTTGTGTTTGTGTGTGTGTTAGTGGTAGGGTCGCATGGGTGGAAGTCAGGACAACTTGTGGGAGTTGTTCTTCTACTCTCTGGGTCCTCAGGATTGGCTTGGTGTCAAGGGCCTTTGCCTACAGAGCCTTCGTATAGAACCCTAGTGTCTATTTAAAGTGTGTGTGTGGTCCTGGGTAGGCCCAGGGCTGTAAGTACGTGTTCTGTCACTGAACCATCTAAAGTTTCTTTTTATATTTTTATTTTTGCCTTTCTCCTGCCTCAGTTTCCCAAGTACTTGAGACTGCAGGTGTGCACCATCACACCTGACTTCAACAGGCCTGTAGGAGGTGTGGGCTAGCCTCACATAGGCCTGGTTGGAAGCTCTTTTTTGTCCCTTCTGAATGTGTGACTTGGGTTCAGTTGTTGCCCTCATGTCGTTTCTTCATCATACCACCTGGACTCCCATGATTCTCAGGAGGGCAGAGTATACTACAATCCCATTGTGCCAGAACATGTTCGTGGCAGCATCTCAAATCTTTACCTGTGTTACCTCTACCACACTCTTCTGTCTTAACACATGAGGCCCAGGTGGCCACTGGCAATAACTGTGCCCTCATGTCACCAGTCTTTGTGGAACCCACCTGTCATATACAGCTTGCACATAGGTTAGCAGCCACACACACACACCTCAGGGATGGAGGCAAGTTCTGTTTCTCTGTGTCTACCTGTGAATGCACTGGGAAATAATCTTCCCTATAGTCAACACTGGACCAGTCTGGACCTCTGACCTCCAGTTCTTTTGGGAACCAGTGTTAATTGTCTCTTTTGTCTCAGGGGAGAAGTGAGACGAATGTTCCCCGAAGACACAGTACAACATGTCTCATCCCAGGGACACCTTCCCAGTAGGTCAGGAGAGAGAGGTTGGGTTGGGTGGGCAGACCCGTAGGTGGAGGCTGCTTGTTCATTCCCAGCCACCCAGACCTGAAATAATCACATAGAAACTATATTAATTAAAACACTGCTTGGCCTATTGGCTCAGACTCCTTATTAACTAACTCTTACATCTTAAATTAATCCATTCTTATTTTGTATTTTACCATGAATCTTGTGATTTACCAGTAAGTTTCCAGGGCATCTGTCTCCTTCAGCAGCTACATGGCAGTCTCTCTGACTTTGCCTTCTTTTCTTCCTCTATCTCTGCTTAAAATTCCTGCCTTGCTCTATTCTGCCCTGCCATAAGCCCAAAGCAGCTTCTTTAATGCTAATGAAATGGTAATGAAACACATTCACAGCATACAGAGGGGAATTCCACATTACAGACCTGCAAAGTTCTGGGTGCTGGGACCCTCAATGCTTCAGGCAATAAAGACCTTTTCATTTCAACTGGGAGTGTTCTGTGTGACTCTGTGGGTGTGGGAAGAGGTTACTTTGGGGGATCTGCACTGACTCACTGCAAAAAAAAAAAAAAAAAAAAAAAAAAGCCCACTTGGAAGAGATTCCTCAAATACAATCTTGACAAGTTGGACTTTCTTTGACTGAGATATTTTGAAGCTCAGCCCTGCAGAAACTGGTCTGGCTGTGGTGAGCAATCATTTTCTTACAGAACATGGCCTGACAACATGAAAGCCCGCTTATGAAAGTTGTTTGTTTGTTTTTAGGATCAGCCTCTGTTGTTCAAAACCTATCTGGACAATACCTTTTTTTTTTTTTAAACAAATGTTGACTTTAATTATTTTTAAGATTAAAATTGTTCTGTGTGTTTATTGGCTTGAAATTGTTTTCATAAACATATTTTGATCATCTCCCTTCTCCAGCTCCTCCTAGATTCTCCCCACCTTCTCACCTACCCTACTTCATGGTTTATATTTGATTTTTGTTTACCTATGTATGTGACTTTGTGTAGGGTGTGTACAAGTGGTGCCAGGTGCTTGCCGAAAACTGAAGAGGCTGTCGGACCTATTGGAGCTGGAGTTAGAGGCATTTGTGAGCCACACTATGTGAGTGCTAGGCACTGAACTGAAACTCCTGAAAGAGTAATATGCACTCAACCACGGAGTTGTCTCTCCAGCCCCCAAACTGTGGCATTAAAAGTTAACAACTGTAGAGGGTTTTTGTTTGTTTTTAGATTTTGCTGCTAGGAGTAGAACCCATGGCCTTGTGTGTGGTAAGCAGGCACTCTACCACCGAGCTGCACTGCTAGCCCATAAGTTACGTATTTACATGTATCTATTGAAATCTTAAAATCATTACAATTGATTATGTACCCTCAACTATTAAAGCATGTATTACCACAAATTATTGGGAATTTTTAGATTGCCTCTTCCTGTTTGCATTGGGTATGTCCATTCCTCTCTCACCCCAGGATTTCAGTGTCTTGATTTAGAATAATCCTTTGAAGTCTTACAATGTACACTGCAAGTGTGAACAGTTTGGCAGATACTCTACATAGTGTGGGTGGCTTGTTGACATTCCTAAAATTATAAGTTCTACATATTAAAAACATCAGGGTTGAGCTAACATTGTAATTAATATAAAACAGCATGTATATATAATTAAGTTTTTAAAAACTAAGCTAGGTGGTGGTAGCACAGGATTTTAATCCAGGCACTCAGGAGGCAAAGGCAGGTGGATCTCTAAGTTTGAGGCCAGCCTGGTCTACAGCAGTGATTCTCAACCTTTGTAACACTGTGACACTTTAATACAGTTCCTCATGTTGTGGTGACCCCCAACCATAATTACTTTTGAGCAGCTGGAGAGATGGCTCAGAGATAAAGAGGTTGTAAACCCTAATTGTCGTTATGAACTCTTGAATAGGATTGCGCTGTTATCCCTAGGGTAACTGCTCTTCCTGAGGTCCTGAGTTCAATTCCCAGCAGCCACATGGTGGCTTACAACCATTTATAGTGGGACTTGATGCCCTAATCTGGCATAAGGTCATTCATGCAGATAG